TCTAGAAAGGGTAATTTGCGATTAAGTTCTTTTTCCATAGTAAACTTTATGTTGGGGTGCCTAGAGTTAAAATACCTACGATAAAATAGAATTTTATTTTATCGTAGGTGTGTTGACGACACTTTTTGTTTATTTCAATCGGAGCACGATGCTGTTATATTTTTTGACTGCTGTTATCTAGACCTTTAATGGAAAAATAGTGAAACCACACGCTGAACAATTACGTGCTCAAAATTGATCATTTTTTGAGTTTCTGATCCAAGAAAAACAAATCCTCTTTTTCCTTTATGGTTAATTGTTGTAATCAGGAGCTCCTCTTTTAGACTTGGCTAAATCGATGAATTAAGCTCACAAGTCTGAAAAATGCTTTACGGAGACTTTCTGAGGGGCTGACGTCATTCACATCACCTGACCCCTCATTTACGCTTTCCATATATGTGGTGTTTTTGATTTGTAATTCGTCCTCGTCCGCATTGACATAAAAGTTTCCCGTTGAGTTCAAGCGCGCCTTTTTTCGTAGCTTCGGCACCATTAATTTTGGCAAATTCAGGAGCGAGTTCCTGTTTTGAGTTTAATTACAACGGCGCCTCTAAGTAAATTCCGCAAACTTCGCAGTCACGTCTACCTGTCTTATGTGCAAATGGCAGTTGTGAAGTTTTCTCATAGCGTATGAGAACATTTTGGAGACACTGCCAAAACGGTATTTTGTATGCGAAGTCTTGACAAATGTTTTGAAATGTTAAATTGACGGTGGATTGTTGACACGATCCCAGTTTACTGAGAATCAGAATTGCTCGGTGATATCATTGTGAGTGCTTGCGTGGTAGCCAGCACCTGCTGCATCAACGTCGTCACAGCGTCATCTCGTTATGTTTACAGGAATATGTCATTGTTACCTAGCAACCTTTTATGACGGAGACGAAAAGCCAGCAGGCTATTAGAATGATGGTTATTTTATTTCTTTCAGGCTATCGACGACTACCAAACAAACTTAAAACCATAAATAAAGTGCACGGATATGGAAGAGAGGACAATTAAAAAAAACTAATACTCTCCTTATGTTTAGCGTCTTGCTTAGAAATCTAAAGGGCCAGCTATTTTTTTTGTTCAGGTCTGAATTTACAATGCACCAGAATGTTTCGAGACGCAGAAACAATGCGACAGTTAAATATATTGATAGTTTTGCTACTTTCGTCTCTACACTCAGGAATGAATTAAAACACACCCAGCGCCGTTAGCATTGTATCTTTCAATTTACTTCTTACCGCCGTACGTGGACTGAAATGTAGGCAATACACACTTCTATCTTCGCTTGTGTTTCTTTCCTGGCATTTTATTGTATAATATTCCTCCCTAACCAAGCTCTATATTGTCTGTAATACCAAACAAGAAATGAAGTAAATCCATAAACTGATATGACTGATATGCTTTGTTTTTAATTTTTTTGTTTGGTGCTGCAGACCGCGGACACAACTTCCTATTCTAACTCTCTTTGTCTGGCATCCATGTGTTTTTCCATTTACGGTTTATCTGGTTTGTCAGTCTATTTGCAGCACCTCGTGCTTTAATCAGCTATGGATTGCACTTTAAAAGTCTTTTAAAACTATTTCTAAAGTTCTCATTTCTCCAACAGAAGATCAGAGGATTCCAACAGGCGTTCAAACTTGCAACCAAATAAACTGCGTGCATTTTGTGTGCTGCGATCGGTGATGAGGTGAGAAAGCGGACGCACAGTACAACCAATAACGGGATGAAACTAACAAGACAGACCCCTACCACAATGGCCGCAGTACGGGCTCCTTTCATTTCACGCCTCCCGGTGAGTTTTCCTTGCAAGTTGTTTTCTTCCCGAATTTGTCTCCGCTGATTCCAAGCAACTTTGAAAATATAACTGTACGACATCATAATAATCACAATGGGCATGACCAGTAATGATACCACCAAGAAAACAAGGTATGATCTGACGGATGTTGACTGTAAACGGAAGGGCTCGTGATGACGATGGAAGCACGGAGACAACGCCTGTAAAAACTCCTTAAACACTTGCAGCTCCTCTGACTTCAACGCCTGGGGAAAGATCAATACAACAGCAATTCCCCAAAGCCACACTACGACGGAAGCAATCGTTGCTCGGCGATTAGTCACTATCATTTGATACCTCAAGGCGAATTTGATGGCGATGAAGCGTTCCACACTGATTAAAGCGAGATGCAGAATAATTATGGCGTTGAAAGTCAGGCTGACTGTTGAAGCGACGCTGCATATTACGCGCGGCGATGGTGTCTTTCCGACAATTATGTTCGCAATCTTTAAAATGAAAGAAACCGTCATAAAAATGTCCGCCACTGACAAACTCACCAGAATGGCGTTAGAAGCACTCCGCAGGCTTGAAAATTTATAAAACGCTCTGATCACAAGAGAATTGCCAAAAACAGTGGCAACTGTCAAAAGAACGTGGATGGTGATAATAATGGCTTTCAGGTCAGTCGGCTCTTCTTTGCGACCATCATCATCATGATTTGAAGGACCCATTTTACAACAGAAACGTTTTTTTCATAAACTGCTGGGGTTACGGCTTCCAAGTTAAAAAATGTTTGTTGAGGACTCACGGACATAGAAGACAGGGAAGCATTCGTGACTACAGCGCATGTCGAGGATCCGTTAGGTTGCACATTTCTACTGAGAATAAGGTCAGCAGTTCGTAAGCTTGGTTATCGGTAATGAAGTTCTCGTGGATTAGATTTTATAAAGTCTCTTTTTTTAAATGAAGATGAACTATATACTGGAAAAAGCTAAGTTCGAGTGGTTGAACCACATAATTTTCCTTACTTATGCATTCAGGTGACAACTCTTATGCTTAATCAAATGTTTAAATAAACAACGGTTAACAGCTCTTGTTACTGAAACGGGGACCTTTTAATTGCAATAGGTTTGACAAATAAGCCAGCATAAATTTTTAATTTCACTCGTGTGCCATCTGTCACTGTATTGAGAACTCCAGGTCATCTTTAGTGCACCTGCTAATTAGTTGGTTAATGCGTTGTCTTAATAGAGAGTAAAATAGTTCAACGTTGTTGACCTGAAATGGTTTGCTCGTCCGTTATCTTCACAACTAGAATTTTGTGGCCAGTGTTTTATCTTCCGCGTGAACCC